GTCGTAAGAGAAACGAGAGCCGATCACTTTTTCACAGAACTTGAAAGATATTGCATTAAAGCCAAATGACATTTTCTGGTGGGCTTGACTTTTGACGCTCTTCTTCACACACACATGCATTCATTCGAAGTGGAAGAGCTATCAACAAGCCTAAACCGAGAGAGTTCTGGAAACCCAAAAGTGACCAAACATGTTGGCGCCTTTTTTACCCAAATTCAAACGGCTCGCGTACTCAAGTTGACTTTGCAATCCGTCTTGGGGATGACTTACCTACAACTTTGAGTTGATTGTCTGCTAGTCTCTCATTTTTATCATGATTCTTATCCTCTTTCTCCTCGTCCGGCCTGTGAGGGTTGTGGCTTTTCTCGATCGCCGCCGCTTTTTCCTTGGGACTGTCCTCGATGTGTCCAGCCTCATTCGAGGCGATGCATTTGGACTCTTCCAGTACCATTTTCGTCGGCTCCTCCTTCGCCTCGCCCTCCTCTTTGGGGCCCAGCTGGCTCAGGGTCCGCCGACGACGGTGACTCTCGAGGGAGTCTTGTGGATTTATCGCCTCTTGTGGGTTCTTGGCTTTTTCAGCCTCCTTTCTTCCTACAACCTCGTGGGTGAACGTCGAATCGCGCCTATCAACCGAACTGATCAGATCACTGGGCTTCGATGCGTCGATGCTGTCGTCAGCTCGCCTATTCCGCTGGTCGTCAGGCAACTTTGACCCGGCTTGCGACAACAAATGGTTTCCTGTACCGTTGGATAAGTGAGCTGTAGAGTCGGGAGCCAACGCGGTCTTTGAAGCCTCTTCAGGGCTCTGGGGACGCTCGCCTCTGTCGTCCTCTTCGTCAAATCCGTCCGAGCTCAGGTCAGCCAAGTGACGATCGTAGAGCTCGTCGTGGGCTCGAAACTTGTGATGCACATCCTCTTTGGCTCGGGCTGTCACTAGCACGGGACTATCGGCCTGAATCCCTCCAGTCGAGGCACAGGAGCCCATCTAAGAAAGATTCCCACTTGTCTGCCCCCTCTGCTGTAGTCAATGTGATGGGGCACTTGGTTGGCAGACAGAGTGTGAAGTGGACAGGTAGCAAGAGGCTCGCGAGTGGGAGTTGGGCTGGTGCGAATTCAAGGATCCCCCCCCCCATACACACACACACACACACACACACACACACACACCTGAAGAGAAGATAGAGGGCAATGTGGCCGAGTTGTGTGGAGAGTAGAGCCGGGTGGGGAGAATGGTCAAAGTGAGTCTGTTGAGGCCTTTTATGTGATCTGATTGACGCAATCACATTACCACTTGCAGGCGTTGATGGGGCGAAGCGGAAATGACTGGCCTCGGTTACATGCAAGGTGGACGTTTCGACGGTACACCGCCCGGAGTTCACGGTACATGCTGGTTGGACAACGCAAGTGTGTCCGCACCGAGCAGAAGTTCCTTCTTGGCAGGTGTTGAAGAATGAACTCTAAAAGAGAGGATGGAATGAAGAGGATCCTGAATGAGCAAGTTGCACAGTCTTAAGTTGCTTCGAAGATGGAATTCCAATAATTGTG